TATATATTTTCATTCCCTTCAGTCCTGGAAAAAAAATCGAAAAAGAAAAGGTCAAAAGGAATTTTTTTAAGCAAATCCTGTTTTTTTGTTTCATTTACAGTAATTTCAGTTAGATAAACGTTGCATAACAAATTAAAATTATAATAAGTCCAGTTAATGTAAGCATAAGCATCAAAAGAGATAACGAAAGCATGAGACAAGCTACCTAAAAGACAGATTAATACGTTCGTTACCGGATTGCGTGATATCGAGTGACAAAATTCTTTCCTACACTTGGTAACAATAAAACAGATTAAATGGCATATTATCAACCAACTATTTTTCCAGAAATATATTTTCTCGTGACAATACCATAATGTTGCTTCAGGTTTATCCTTATATTCTCTAGTCTAAGAAATAAACCCCAACTTATTCCTATTTCTTCCCCATTCATTGCTCAATTACTCCTCCCCAACTGCAAATTGACTTTTGATTTGAATTTGACTTTTTTATAAAATAAAAAAAATTAATGGTAAATTTGTATTCTGATTTGAAGTTTTTAACGAGAAAAAATCAATCATAAAAAATTGTTAAGTTTTGCCTTCGGCTAAGAATTACAAACATTTGACTAATACTTTTGATATCTGGGTAATTTACTGGCTAATAATTTAAAGTCCTTAGTGTGGACCCTGCATCTATTAACAAAGTAAAAAGTGTTGTTTGACTATTTCTTTGCTCTTTTAAACCGATTTTGAATTTCCCGTTTGGGATTGTTGTTCAAATATTGTCGAGGCAACCAAAGTTGTATATTTTTTACAGATAAATAGAAGTCTAAAATCACCAAATATGTGTTACATAATCTTTAATAAATTCCTATGTGATAAGAATGCCAAGTCCCCATATTAAATAGGATAATAAAAACTATTAAAATTTAAATGTAGTTTAATTTTTAGTTATGCATTTTAGCATTTTTATTGATATTTATAGAAGTAAAGCACATAAATTTATGTATTCTGGTAAATTTTATTATTCTGGAAGAACAGGCTTATTGCAAAGAGTGTTTGCTATGAGCCTAGATTATTTTGACTTATTGTAAATAGCCTTGCCGAAGACTAATTGAAATAAGCCGAGCAAAAGAAAAGAAACTGAAATAAAATTAATAAATTAACAATAAAACAAGCTTTAGTGAAATTAACCTTGAACTGTATAATTTTGATCAGGAAATAAAGACCAAACATCACTTTGTAATTATTGTTATTATTCACTAATTCAATTGGCATTGAAATATGTGTTAAAAAAATATTAATTGGACACAGAAATAATGAAGGTCTTAAGAATTACAACCATTTAAATCATTGTTGATAGATTAGTAGTTACATATTTTTTATTCAAAAATTTTAATCCCAGCAAAGATATAATTAACTGTTTAAATAATTTTAGATTTCTTAATGGGTCGACGCTCCTTACTTGGGAACTCAATCTATAATATGCAATTTTATTATAGATGAAAATTAAGTAAGAGCTTATGTTAACTTAACAGAAATTTTAAAATGAATTTGTTCAGTTCACCTCCAAATACATCCAAAAGAACGTATTCCAAATTAAAGTGAAGTTTTGATCCCCTTATTGAATTTTGACCTGGCCTCAAGGTTTTGATCGCCATTTACCTAAATTTAATTATTTTTGCCAAAAACTGTTTCCAGTAAATAAAATTAATCGTTGTTTTTTATTGATATTTAATTTCAAAGCTAATGTCATTTCGTTAAATAAGTACAAATGATTTATATTTTTGCTTGTTTTTTCCTTATCTAAAGCTAAATCTCAAAAAAAAAAGCAAACCATCTTTTATTTAAACCTTAAAAAAAAATTAAAAAAATATTACCGAAAATGTAACTTAAATTTTATTTTAAAAGTATACTAAAGTTTTAAGAATTATTCTTTTTCGCAGTCAGTTTCGGAGAAAATACAATCTTATAACTTTTTTCTTGACTAAATGGAAAAATTAGTGAACTTCTCTCTAATTTTTTTAATGGAAAATATATCTGATTGTTACTATTTTTCTGTATAAAACAGCACTATTATACTATTTTATTTTCATGCTTTTATTTTTCCGTATAAAAACATCTCACTAAAAGTATTATTAGAATGATTTTTTTATTTGCCTTGAAATCGGAAAATTTTAAATTGATTAAGTTTAAATTTCCGCTGTTATAATTTTTAATAATTTTGCATTTTTTAAAGAATTAAACATTGAGTTTTTTTTCAATTACAATTTTGGAAGAATATATTTTTTTTAAATACTTAGCTTTTAAAAACTGTAATCTTTGTACCTGGTTATTTGTGTGTTATAAGTAAGAAAAAAAAAAAACTTTTTTGATACGACTTTAGTTTCCTTGTCAAGGAGCTATTTCTGGAACAAAATGTAAAGAAGCTAAAAATAAAATTCTTATTTTGTGTTTAGATCAATAAGTTAATCAACTTTGATTAGATCGGAAAAGAAAAAAATTGAAACGAAGTTTAAGAGAAATACAAGACACGCAATTTTGCATAAGTATTGCGTACTACGCAAAAGAAAATAAATAGATAAACAATACACCCTTAATTACTTTTAATCTTATGATCGTATTTTCAATAAGTTAATGCAACAATATTTTTTTATATGAAATTCGACACAAAAACGTATTTTCTCCTAATAAACATACCTTTTTTCTGACTTGATTTGGATATCTGATCCTCAAAATATAAGGGGTAGCCGCAATCTGGGAAATATGGTCCTAATAGGTCATGTTCAAGAGAGTGGTTGAAAGTTTGGACCTCTTTATATTAATTTTACTTTCTGCGTATTTCGTCTTATCTCCAGAACTTTTTAAGCGAATTGAAAACTTTTTGCACACAATTATAAAATTCGCATATCCAAAGATAAGTCTATTCAAAAAAGTAATTTTAATGATTATTTATTATATTTTATTTTTTTATTTAGTTATAGTCTGAAAATTTTTGAATTGTAAAAAATACAAATTTGTGTATATGTATTTTCCCCCATAAAGTTGCATTTTTTGAAGTTATGTAAAGTTATGTGCAATTTGAAATTCAAAAGTTTTTCTACTTTTATTAAATAAAACAATAAAAAATACCAATTATTTATGATTATTATTATTTTTTTTTGCATAAACGAATATTCATGTACTAGGTCTCAAAACCTAATTGTTTGAGGTGTTATAAATTATAAAATTTGGATAAACGAATTTTATAATTGTGTGCAAAAAGTTTGCAAATCGCTTAAGAAATTTTCTAGATATGGCGAAATTCGCAAATGTAAAATAATCATTAAGGGATCCAAGCTTCCGACACTCTCTTGACCATAATATTGGGACCATCCCAACCAAATTGCGGCTATTCCCTATATTCTAAGGGTCAGCGAACCAAATTCATCGAGAGAAAGGTATGTTTATTCAATGAAAGTACGTTTTTGCGTCTGATTTCATAACTTAAAATATAGCCAACTGAAACTATTTAGCATATTTGAGGTCAATTCCTCGTATCAGTAGGTTTTGAGACCTAGAGCGTGAAAATCTGATCATGAGATCGAAGGTTATTAAAGATGTTTCGTTTATTTTTATTGTACTCAGGGGTCTGTTTAGAAGAAATTTTGGTCCGTTAACGGACCCTTCACAAAATATCTTTTCATAAAAACGGACCCTTCACAAAATATTTTAACTTAAAAACGGACCCTTCACAAAATGATTTTTCTTCTAATTGGACCCTTCACAAATTTGTTTATCTTCATTATTGTTTTGTTAATCGAATAAACCCTTCCCAGGGCAGAAAACAAGAAAGATGGATGTTAGCGAATTAAGTTTTGTCTTCGGCAGACGATTCTTTCATTATTCGTCCGAAATGCATATTCTGCGTTCAGCAGTATAGGCTAAATACCAAATATTTGTATGTTGCATCACTAATTTAGAAGAAGCAATTGCTGTTTATTTTTTAAAATTTAATTTTTTTAATTATAATTTTACAGTGTTGAGCATAATCTTGTATGTCTTTACAATTTAAAAACTCCTTGAAAAAGTTTTTTTTTGCAATAACGGACCCTATTTGCA